TAAATTCATTTTGGAGGGAACAGCTCTGCGTCAGACCAGTTTGCAGTCCCGCCTTGGACGTAAGGGATCCCACATTTTCCCTGTCGTCAGCCTCAGTTTTCCTTCCAGCAAACTGGGGCTGTCTGTTCTCTCGCCCTCCTCAGAGGCCATCAGGCGGAAGGTGGAGCTGGAGTGGGGTGTGGAGGATGACGAGTACCTGGACAAAGTGGAGAGGAACATGGAGAAAGCCCTCCAGGAGCACCCGCCCGACGTGGTGGTGTACAACGCTGGCACCGATGTCCTCGAGGGGGACCGCCTCGGTGGCCTGTCCATTAGCCCCGGGGTAAGTGCTGACCACAGGGCGTGGGGAGGGGCTGCTCCCGGGACATGGCAGCAGCAGGCAGGTGGGCAGCCTGCGGTCAGGGAGGACAACGGGTGGGCGCAGCAGTCTGGAGCAGGGCCAGACCAGCAGGACGTCCCGACACGACACGGTGCCCACGCCCGCCTGAGCGAGTCCTCCACTCCCCCAGGGCATCGTGCGGCGGGATGAACTGGTGTTCCGAGTGGTCCGAGGCCGCCAGGTGCCCATCCTCATGGTGACCTCGGGCGGGTACCAGAAGCGCACGGCCCGCATCATCGCCGACTCCATCCTGAACCTGCACAGCCTGGGGCTCATCGGGCCGGAGTCGCCCAGCGTCTCTGCGCAGAACTCAGACACGCCGCTGCTGCCCCCGGCAGTGCCCTGACCCCCGCTGCCCTGCTAAGCGTCTCCCTGCCCGTCTGCCCACCTGCCCCTTAGTGCTTTTTGTTTTCTAACCTTGCGGGGCGGTGGAGGCGGCCTCCAGCCAGCACCGAGGGCCAGGCACAGCCAAGAGGCCTTGCGGTGGCAATCCCTCTGCTCTCCTCACTGGGTGCCAGAGCAGAAAGCAGAGCTCGGGTCCCAGGGAGGACCCCCACGTGGGGTCACGGGGCCGCCTGGGCCCTGGGGAACCAGACAGTTCGCTGAAAATGGAGGAGGACAGGGTATGCCCCGGGGATCTCAGGGAGGGCCCGCAGGGCTTGAGATGTTTGGTTTGGGAGTGTTAGATCCTGGCTAGACCCAGGAGGCGTCCATCTCTGCCACGCCTGGGCCTCTGTCCCTCCTCTCCAGCTTTGTGATTGCTCCCGTCTCTCCTTGCCTGAGGGCACAAGGATTTGTGGGTGCAGGCGTGGACCGGCCAAGAGGAGGTGGGCCTCTAGGTGGGCCCTGGGGTTCCCAGGCAGCAGACAGGAGCCCAGGTCTGGAGCTGAGGGCAGTTGGGAACGGGTACAGGTAGGTTCATCTGGGGTTCCCCCTCCATAAAGCCAGGGTTGGACCAGCTTTTCCAGAGCCCTCCCATGGGGAGGAGGCGTGGGGAGGCGTGAGGACTCCCAAACTCCTGCTTTGGCCACGGATCACCGATCAGTGTGAGAGGAGGTTTTTAGAGGCAGAATTCTTAGCTCAGGGACAGGTCTCAGCACTGAAGCCGCCAGGGGCTGCTGGCCTAGGTGTTGGAGGGGAGCGGGGTAGAGGATAGGAGGGTGGAGTCATGGCAAGGTGAGGGCCAGCAGGAAGGAATCTGGGATGGGACTAGGTGGCCAAGGCGGGTCCTGTAAGGATTGAGGCACTGACGAGGCCAGGCTGGGCTTCCCGGAGGGAGAGCAGAGAGGTTGTCCATCCTGGCCTGGAGGTTGTGAAGGTAGAAGGCTGGGGTGGGCCTGCTGGGGCCGCCATTGGTTCTATCCAAAGTACCAGGCCCCATCTTGCTCCGTGACCCAGCTGGGCCTGACCTCTGGCCTTTTCCTCAGCTCCGCTTTGAAGGGGGCATCTGGGTCTTCTCCGAAGCTGGGCGGGGGTGGTGGCGGGGGTGCGGCCAGTGCCTGTCACCTTGGCCGAAGGCAGGGGTGGGAGAGGACACAGTCAGCTGAGGTAGCCCCACTTACACACTCGTGGTCACTTCCATCTGGGGTACTCGAGGTCTCCTGTCTCCCTCAGGCGTGTCCGCTGGAGGAGGAAGGGTTCCAGATCACGGAGTGTCAGAGACGCTGGCCTCCTGGACAAACCCCGTCACTAACGATGCGCTGGAGTCACCCCTCCCCCCCTGGGCCTCGTTGGCCTTGGGTCCTACTCGGGGTGCCTCAAAGCTGTCCTTCCCCGTTGCTGGCCTGCGCCATCTCGGGGCTGCCGTGGGCAGTTTGTCACTGTTGAGCTTCATTCCCAGAGACTCATAAAGGCTCTCGATCGGACTCGGCTGCTGTGCGTTATTTTTTTGGAGAGGTTTTTGCTATAGGGCGCATGCGCTCGCCAGAAAGACCGAGGGACAGAAAGCAAGAAATCACCCCCCCAGGGGGGATGGCCACACTGCAATCCTTCTCCTCCATTCTCCTCTTGGGACCAAGGCCACACACGCACACGTGCCCAGCGTGAGTTTAAGCCACCGGGTCCGGGACTCGAACTGCAGTCGATTACATGGGAGTCCAGCGACATAGCCATTACGCTAACTGCTGGTCCCAGCTGCTGTGTATTCTTGAGGTGTAAGATCCTTGCCTCCTAAGGGCTGAAGGGAATAATGACTTAACACTCAGCGTAGGGCCCTGTGGCGTGGTGGTTAAGGGGGCCGGACCCCACGTGCCAGCTGCGTGGCTCAGCTCCTGACCCTGGTGGCTTGAAAACCACTGTGGACCTGTGCACGGCTGCCCCAAGTCCTGACGGTGGGGAAGTGAAGGAATTACAGCGCTGACGCCCCCTCCCTCTATCTCACGTGCATATGCCCTCTGTCAGCAAGGAGGGGACCCACCCAAATTCAGACTAAATACCGTGATACCTGACACGAGGCAGTTGCCCACAGATGCTGGTATTTTATCCGCTCTCCAGGGCCCTGTGGAGTAGGTCACCTCACAGATGAGGACGCAGGCTCAGCGAGAGAGGGATTCGTTCTCGGCCCCACGTAGAGAGTGGTCGAGTCCCACTTGAATCCAGCTCTGGCAGTTTCCCAAGAATATGTGGTCTTCAAAACGTTGAGGAAAAATGTACATTGTGGAAAAGCTGTGTGGATTTCTTTTTTTTTTTTAAAGAATTATTTCATTTATTTATTCTAATTTGACCAGAGAGAGAGAGAGAGAAAGAGCAAGCAAGCTGCCAGGTCCAGGACTCGAACTGTGGTCGGCCATGTTGGGAGTCCAGCACCCTTAACCACCATACAACCTGCTGGGCCCAGCTGCATGGATTTCAAACATGTTGCACCAATATAAATAAATCTTAGTCTCTTTTCTGTAAACGTTTGAAGCCCCCTCAAGTGTCCTCAACCTTGGCAGGGATAAAGGGGTTAGGTGGCGGTTCTTCTCCAGACAGAGGAGGGTCTGGGGTCCCCAGGGCGTAGGGTCTGGGGAAGCACCCGGGCGGTGGGCTGGCAGGACTGAGCCATGATGGCTGAACGATGTGGGAGGCAGAGGAGGGCCCTAGAAGGGCACCTTCCGGCCTGGGGTGGGCTGGGGTGGGCTGGGGCAGGGGTCTTGCAGGTGGGGAAGGCAGAGTGACTGGGATGTCCCCAGCAGCTGTGGCACAGCTTGGGTGGCAAGCAGGGTGACCCCACGAGGGTCAGACACATATCAAGGTCAAGGACATGAGGGTAGCAGGGCCGGAGTCCAGATGGGCGGGCCCTGTGCTGGGTGTGAGGAGACTGACAGGCTGACAGCGAGTCGTGCTAGGACCAGGCCCTGTTCCAGGCTCTCAGCGGGCATTACCTGCTGACCTCCACAGTGCTGGGAGGTAAGAACGATTCTTATCCCTGTTTGACAGACGAAGAATTTAGGCATGAAAGGGGGTTCGGCACTTGCTGAAAGCCCACCCCTCCTAAGTGGAGGAGTGAAGATTTGAACCAAGGCTTCAGTTGCAGATTCTGTGAGCTGTTTCCTAGTCTGTAAAACTGGGACTACAGAGATACTTACCAAGGGAGGTAAATCCAGGAATAAAAGCTTTGATGACTGGGAAGCACTCGGGGGGTGTGGGTGGCACCCCGTAACTGTCGGTGAGGACGAGGGGTGGGTTACCCTGCAGATGAGGTGGAAGAGTCAAGGGCCAGTTGAGGTGAAGTGTTGGGAATCTACAATCTACTTTTGGCTGTGTATAAATTAGACTCCAAATTACACACTTTTCGCTGTGCGTAAATTATACCCCAAATTACAGAAATCCTAGGGGAACATGCTAGCTTTGTGCAGTGGCAGCCCTGGACACCCCGTGGGCATGAGCGTAAGAGGACAGTGTGTGGAACCGCTGGTGGTCAGACGTGGTGTGGGGAGAACTTGAGGGGCGGCGTGTGGGCAAGCCACCAAGTAGGAGCTCACCCACCATGGGCACCCTGGGCTTGGCCAGCCCCTAATGCCTGACTGATGGGAGATTTCTGCAAAAGCCCTCGCTGGAGCTCCCTGAAAAGCTCCAAGCACAGACATTCGACGTGGGGGACACCAGAGACATTGCTAATGCACCCCATGCCTCGGGGAGGTGGCAGACCTCAGAGCTAGCTGATACCCGCCTCATGCGAAGCCCCCGGGTGCCTGTGCCTGGTGGTGGGGCCGTGAGCGAGTAACCGCCTCAGGCCTCCCTCCTCTCCCCAACCGTGGGTCATGATCCAGAGATGGCAGGGCTGGAACACGTGTGTGTGAGTGTGTGCACGTGCAACGGCATGACTCAGCCTGGCACCCAGTAGGTCTGCATGGATGTGGCCACCCCACTCTCCCGACAGACCCGTGCACGATGCCCATCAGCGTGCGGAGACCTGGGAGAGGGTTTGCCGCCTGAGCGCGGCTCTGCTCCACATGGAGTGAGTTGAAGAACTGCCCAGCTGTAACCCGCTCCACAGTGCCCCCTCCCCCAGCCCACAGGGCCAGGCCAATAGGGCCCTGGCGGGGGAGGAGGCGGGAATGACTGTACCCACCCTGCCGCCAAAGGCGGAGACTGGCACGGGGCCCCCTCCCAGCGTAGTGGAACTCCCGGGCAGATCTGAATGAAGACTTATGACGCCTCCCGGGCTCCTTGGCCAAGTGTTTGGGGTTTAGGGCCAGGAACTCCTCCAGGGCAGCCTGCTCTTGAGTCAGATTCAGCTCAGCCGAGACTAGCTGGGACACCTTGCTCCAGGCCAGCGCCTGACGTGGGAGGCCCCCGCTGCCCTAGAAGGAGCACTGTCCCTCGGTTAGGAAGGCGACGAACATCTGGGTTCCAGTCGCTCACCAGCCCGGCCTCCTTGGGTGAGCTCCGCCTCCTCGTCGTGCTAGCTACAGGCCCTAACCTCTGTGCCTCAGTTCACTCATCTGTAAAAACCGACTCTAGTTATGAGAATTACGTGAGCTGGGACCAGCAGTTAGCGTAATGGCTATGTCGCTGGACTCCCATGGAGACGACTGCGGTTCGAGTCCCGGACCCGGTGGCTTAAATCACACCCAGGTGTGTGTGCGTGCCCAAGATCCTGAGAGGAGATTGGAGGAGAAGGGATTGTGGCATGGCCATTCCCCCCCCGGGGGGTGATTTCTCGCTTTCTATCTCTCTGTCTCTCTCTTTCTTTCGGGCGAGCGCATGCGCCCTACAGCAAAATCTTCTCAAAAAAAAACGTGCCAGTGGACTGACCTGTGTGCAGTGGAGTCCAGGGACCTGGAGGCCACCTGCTCCCCCTGCTCATGCAGAGGACACATGGAGGCCCAGCCTCAGCCACTGCCCCTGGGCTTGGGTCGGGGTGGACAACGAGGAAGGCCATCCTTCAAGGAGGGCCCGCTCCCATCCCGGCTTGGTCCTGGTGGTCATCCCCATCGACGTGTAGACAGAGAGCACGATGCCTCAGGGAACATCAGGCCAAGGAGCCTGGCAAGCAGACCAGAGCCAGAGCCCTCAGCGCCTGACCTGGCGGCTCCTAGAGTGGGGTGAGGGACGAGCCCTGGGGAACAGGTACTGCGTTCCAGACTGACATAACAGGAGAACCACAGGTGCGCCCACATGCCAAGGGCCCCTAGGACTCTACCCGCAAACCACACTACCCCCCCGGTATTCCCAGTGGCTCTCCATGCAGGGACTTTGAGCTCCACTCTATGGATTGGAAAACAAAGGCGCAGCGGACCAGCAGTTAGCGTAATGGCTATGTCGCTGGACTCCCATGTAGTCGACCGCGGTTTGCATCCCGGACCCGGTGGCTTAAAACTCATGCCAGGCACATGTGTGTGCGTGCCCAAGACCCCAAGAGGAGAATGGAGGAGAAGGGATTGCGGCATTGCCATCCCCCCCCGCGCCAGAATT